GCTAGCGTCCTACTAGCTCGTGTCTATCGGATACGTATTGCAAATGAGGTCAAGATTGAAGTCAGGTAGCTGATTATTTCCAAATCGATACCAGGAAAGTGGTTCAAGCAGTCCAGGCTCTATCTGGAAATACGACATTTCTTTCCAGGACCTTAATCTCAATATATAGGTACTTACCACCATCTTGGCTTTCAAGAAACGTGCCATTGCATCAGCAGTTTGAATGGAGCGAAGTGTTGGTGTACAGACGATAAATTGCGCTTGAATCCCACGATTGCATATCGCACGTGCCGTCAATTGGGCAGAGTATTTCCCTGGAAAGTAGCATTCACTAGGCGACGATATATCGTCTCTACAATATAAGGATTCGCGTAGGGAATCGACTGTATCCTCTTGAGAAGAGTAGATGTAGCGATGCACACCAATCCATGCTCCAAAACAGAAACAAATGACTTTTACTCACCAAACGGAGTTATCGGTGGATTATCGACGAATGCATTTCCGTAGAGCAACTTCTTCGTGGTGTTATTATGCGGAACATTGAGGTCGGTAGGGGTAAGCTATAACGATTTTGAATAAGGTAATGCAGCGCAAGACCACACCGTACATATCCATGCGGTGCTTCCGTTTCAACCCAGTCGGGCCCAAAAACGCGATCAACACGCTCTGCTGAGCGCATGACAATAATCAGACGACCGCCCTGCTTCTTCCCTGTTGCTCTCGGCCAGTACGAGCAGGTCATGACACCAGGCTGGAATGAGACGTAAAGGGTTTTTGCAATGAGAATATACTAGAACCCACCTCATACTGGGTATCTGGCGTCAGTGTCGAGCTCACTGAACTAGACTGTGTAGATCGTTTGCCTCTCTTCGACTTCTCCCGCTTTGACTTCTTCTTTGATCGGCTCTTCCTTCGTCTTCCGAACGATCCCAGTGATCCCAGTGATCTCCAGCTGCCCTTCTTTCTAGGGCTCTTGCCGCTCTTACTGCTCTTCTTACTCTTACGACTTTTTCCCGATCTGCTGCGTTTCTGGCGTGCGCTTTTTTTACTTCCACTGCTCTTTCGGCTTCGGCTCTTTTTGCTCTTTTTGCTCTTTTTGCTCCCCCCGCTCTTCGATCTCTTACTTTTTTTCTTCCTTTTGTTACTGCAACTAAGACCAAAGCCTTTGCCGCTCTTTTCGCTCTTTTCGCTTTTCTTCGATTTGCTTCTGCTCTTTCTACCAGCTCCGGCTCGTTTTGATTTTGGCTTAGAGTCAGGCTTCGACTTGCCTCCTGCTGTTCTAGGTGTGCGAGCCTTTGCAGTATCTACCTTCCCACTCTTCTTCTCATTTTGCTCTGGCCCCGGTCCCGTCCCTGTCCCAGTGCTTCCTCCACTCGCCGATGTAGATCTTTTACTCCTCTTCCCTTCTTTTCCTTTAACTGGCGTCCTACCCGACTGGCTACGGCTACGGCTACGGCTATGAGTTCGACCCTTTCCCTTTTGAGGAGTTTTCGGTTCCGAGCCGGTTTTGCTCTGGCTTCTGCTTCGGCTTCTACCCTTCTTTTGCGACTTCTTCGTCTTCTTGTTCGATTTGCGACTTCCACGCGACGACTTGCTTTTTTTGCTCTTCTTACCACATTTCAACGAAGGCATGATGAAGTCTTCCTAAAGATTTAAGAAGATTTAGGCATCTGTTAGGCGAGCATCCTTGACGATGGCAGGCAGACCTGATTGCATGTGACGTACGAATGTGAAGTGA